AAACCTGAATCTAGGCAGCACAGGGTTACACGGTGAGCACCCTAAAGCACGCTGCTGTTTGCATTTCCTCCTCAGTTAAGTCTGCGAGAACTCCGGTCACATGACTCAACAACTGCTTTATTCGTTATTTTTTGTTTTTCATCCTTTTTTCCTTCCTTCCTTCCTTCCTTCCTTCCTTCCTTCCTTCCTTTTTTTTTCTTATAATGGAGATTGAATTCTGGCTTTTCATGTGCTTATAAGGCAAACAATCTACCACTGAACGTCACCCCCTGGCATTTCTTAGAATGCTTTTGAGACTGGTCTTAAGTTTCCCAGACTGGCTTTGGATTTACTTTGTAACTCATGAAGGCCATGAAGGTCTTGAACTTGCAGTCTCTCCTGCCTCAGCCTTCCATGATACCGGAACTACAGACCAGTTGTCATCAGACCCAGCTAATCCCGATGACCCCTTTTCACCAAAATAATATTGCCTCCAAACCCCATTGCCATATTGTTTTGCTAGCTTTACTAGAACGATTGTGGTGAGTTTGGAATCATGCAAATATGGCCTTCTTCTAGAGACAGATGATGAGTAAAGGGAAAACCTTAATGCAAGGGTCTCATGCTACACTGCTCCACAATAAGAGACTAGGGAAACAAGGCAGAGCCAACCACGAATGCCAACTTCCTGCATGGCAGGGAGTTACAAATGAGTGGTTTGTCTTATTTAGCATGTTCAGTTCTCACAGGGCTTTGTGAGATCACACACTGACTGCTTCCTTTCAGTGATACTACTTCCCTGTCTGAGGACTCTCTTTTGAACTCTCAGAGAAATAATCTGCTTCTCCTTTCCCATTCTGAACTCTCTCCCTCACTATCCCAGTTCTCTGCTTCCTCTTTTCCTTGAGACAAGGTCTTAGTTTGTTGTCCAAGCTAGTCTGAAGCTTGTAGACTCAAGGGACACCCCAGCTCAGCCTCTGGAACATCTGGGACTGCAGATGCTCACCACCATGCCCAGTTGAGAGCAGATGCTTCACAGTACGCCGAACACTCTACTGACTCCTCTTCCCCCCACCCCCGACCCTGCGTGTTACTAGACCCTGCCTTCATGGCTCTTCAGCTTCTCAGATAAATATGCAGAAACAATTTTGCTAAACTTATAGGTGAAATGATACAGAGTAGTAGTCACTGGCTGTATAACACACATGTATATATTTACACATCCAGCATATTTCTAACATATGTATATATAGTGTATGTACTGATATTATATATTTATTTCCAATAAAATAAAACAATGGGCCCATATTAGGGGGATTTCCATGTGATTGATGGGTTAGACATTTTTCCCCCTGCATATTTGGAAAACAGAGTTGTGGGACACAAACGGAGTCTGTGAAGAAACAGAAAAATACATGGATGAAATCTCCAACTAGCCTGAGGGGTAGAACTACAAAGGAGTTATTTCAATATCAATTTGAGTTTCCAAGCTCAGAGGAAGTGGCCAGCCGTTTGGCAAGTGTGTTCCGCGGGGATCTGTCCCTAAATTGATAATTTGCTTTAAAATCGCTTGCTCAAAACTCATTGCACTTCTTACATACAGGATTTATTGTTCATTTGGTTCAATTTCTGCCAGATTAATCCACAGTGTCTCCTAACAGTAAAGTAGAAGGTGACAGTTTGAGATGGAGGCTTGGTCTGTTCCATTTAATCCCAGCCCCCAAGAGGCTGAAATGGGATCAGAAGTTCACTAAGCAGTATAGGGAAAGGCAGGGAGAGGACAGCAGGCGAGGGTGAAGGAGCCGGAGCCAGGCACTGAGTCTTCTATAACGACCTGCTAATGAGGACAGTGGCCTTACCTTTCCTGGTGGTTGACTTCTCATTCATTTTGCTTCTCTGGGGAATGATGTGCACTCTGTGGTGGAGTTCTCCACTGCTCCAAATCACTGTCACCACGACAGGCTTTGACCTATGAGAAGAACATCATGCAAGAAATGACACAGGGCCTCCTCCTGCCAATGCTGCCTAGGGGTCAGGAAGAGGTGGGCATTTGTTGTTCATTTGTTTTTCTTTCTGACTCTTTTAGATTCTGTCTATGTGTTCAGTAGACTGTGTTATTATAAGAAAATCTGACTGTAAATCCTTAGAGCAAATTGTTTAAATTCTATAGCTACCCATGTTTTCGTCTCTTGAATACATTTGCTTTCTGTGTGGTGCTATAAAAACTGAAAGAAGGAAGCTGCAAAGGCTTTATCAAACCACAGAGATCCCATGCAATGCTAGGAAGCATCATTACTTATAGCCTACCACAAAAAGGACAGTTTAGTTCAAGGGCTGAAGATGAAGGTTCCAGAGCAGCCTTTACTCTCATCCTGACCATTTTCTTGTTCCCTCTGGACAAGCATGATGTTCTGTTGCATCTTCTTTGAAGACGCTGCATGACCTTCCCAGGCTGTGATGGTCAGTGCTAATTGCCAATTTGTAGAATCTAGAATCACCTGGAAAGATGGACCTACGGGTAGCCTTGTGTGAGATTATCTTGATTATGTTAACGAGACGGGCAGTTTCATCCAACCTGGGTGGCATCATTCCCTAGGCAGGGGACCCTGGACTGCATAAGAGTGGAAACAGAAAGTTGAGCTCTAGCATGCATCACTCCCTTCTGACTGACATAATCTGAGCAGCTGCTTCAAGCTCCCGAGGCCTTGACTTCCCTTCCATGATTAAAATATTCTTTATGGGAAGGGAACAGAGAAATATATATAGCTCAATAAAAACAATTTTAAAAAAGAACTTAAAAGTAATCAATTAGCATTTTATTGAGATGACAATATCCTTTTGTTTGTTTGTTTTTTTTTTAATTTTCGAGACAAGTATTACTTTGAATTTTGTTTTAATAATTTTCTGTTGTTTTGCTGTCTGGTGTTTCCTTTTCCTAAGATAGACATAAAAATTGACCTTTCCAAACTGTAGTCTTTCTATGATATGATAATGAGATAAATTGATATATTTGAATATGTGATGAATATAGAATATAATATTCATTATTACAATAATAATGAAATGATGCTTCTAAAACAACATTAGGGTTTACAAAGTTACGAGTCATTAGTGCGATTGAAAAACAGTCAATCATTCAAAGTCTAGCTGTAAACAATTGGTACCATGGAAACCATTCAGGAAATGATAGTAAATCCTAATGTCAAGGTTGCAAGTAGACCCATAAACACTGAAGTGAAATTAAGTTCAAGTAAAAGTTGTGTTTAAAAAGGTTTATGACAGTATGGGTTGTATTTAGGGGCAAAGGAAAATACAGGCATCACGATTATGCACATAGGGTTTTATTTCAGGGGGAACGGGGCTATAGACATTATGGTTACATAAGGGCTTCATCCTAGTCCTCTTAGTCTGGAACTCATCATTTTGTTGCAATGCTGTTTCGAATACTCTTTGATTTTCCCTAACAATCTGCTTGCCCTACATAATTCTGTTAGCCCAGTCTCCTGGTTTACTCAGAGCAAATGTTGCATATTGTTCAAATATCAGGAGCCAGCAGTTCAGAACCCGAGTTCTCACTCTGAGCAAACCATAGCAAGTTTCATAAAATCAGAGCCTTGTTTGAGAGGGAAAGAGGGGACAGCATTCCTTCATGGGACTGTTTGCGTGGAAACAAAATATGAGGTGTGCCTGGGGCACTCACTGCAAGGAGTTCTGCATTGTCAAACGTCACTAGTATTAACAACATTAGTAACAGCCACTATGTCCCCTCTCAGACCGTGTTAGACCATCTCAGACCCATGAACAAATACAGGCATATAGCAAATGAAAGCATTCTGATAAAACATTTGGTTGGTTTTAAACTTTTTTAAAATGTGAGTTCTTCTGCCTTGGAATCTACAACATGGATGAAGAGGGTGCTTATCTTGCCACAAACCTCAAAACATGAGGAAAACAATCCTCAGAGCATTAGGCAAAATGAAGTCCTCGTCTGCTCTCTACTTTTCTGAGGGACTGAAACAAAATGAGCCATCCCGTGTGTTATTACATTACTCAGACAATACATTTATAAGTTAAATCATGGCAAAAAGAAAAAAAAATGTCCTAGGACCAAAGTGGAAAATTCTAGAAGTCAGTCTTATGTCAAAAAACCAAGCACACTTCAATTGTAGCGCTGTCCAGGGCTCACAACTCGGTTCCTCTTCCCAGTTTGGAGCTGCGCTTCCGAATCAGGATTCCCTCCGGGTAGGATGAGAGAGGGATCCTCACTGAATCGTTTCTGCTATGGCCCCCAGCCATGAACAGCAGGCACCCACCGCAGTCTCTCTGGGGACCTCTTGACTGTACAAGACAGCAAGCCTTCTAGAAGCATTCAAGGTGTCTTGATCATCATCTTATTCAGACTTTTGTCAGTCTCGTTTTCTGGAGAGCCAAGATTAAGTATATTGAACCCAGAAGAGACTAAGCACCGTCCCAAATCTAAACCTCGTCAGTTCATTTTTTGTTTTCATTCTATAGCCAAAGCCAAGTGAACTAACTCATCCACATCCCACAGCCAATACTCACGCGTTCCTCTGGCTAGTGACCACTGACCACCTCAGCACCAAAGGCCTCTCCAGCCTTAGGGTCTGGGTTGGTTATTTTGGAAGAAAGCCTCTTCTTCACTTTGGAACTGGACACCATTTCCAAATGGAGATCCTCAGGCTGCCGTTGGTGTGTTTTTGAGTGCTTGTAAAATTAATGAATGCATCTCTCCTAGTTTAGTAGTTAGCATCCTGTTTAAAAGAAGAAACACACTTACCTTCACCATTAAACTAGTATTTGAAGCCCTAGACTAGAAAACTAACTTGGGAAAAGAGGGCGTTCCTTTTCTCCTTCCCTTCACGAACCATAGTGAGTCACATGGGAATTGGACACCGCCAGGTTTGACCCCATACCCTCAGGACAGGGAGTCTGAAATTGGCTTGGCTGCTTAATTTTTAACTTCACTTTCAAGTTCTCACTGATCTAGTGAATACTTCAAAGATGTCACTATGTTTTTCTGCTTTGAAGTGCGCACACAGTCATTCAGTCAACAAGCCGTTTAACTGAGTGGTGGGGTGGGAAGCAGGAGTAGCTCCTGTGTCCACAGACAAAGCACTCCACCTGTTGGAACTGGCTTTTGCATTAAGAAACTAGACTTGAAATGTTCATAATGCCGAGTTCTTGGACAAACGAGATGAAATCTTTCTGTTAACAGGTAGACGGCCTTAGTGAGATGTTCCTGCCAAGGTATCAGCTGGACTGTCCTCCTGCCTCTGGTGCCCACAGGGAATCAGTGTGAACTGTGGCTCTGAGAATGTCCCTGTTTCCGCCCTCCTTTTTCTCTGTGTCCCCCTGAGGTGCTTTTTCTTGGCTCCTGACTCCTGGGGTTGTTTTGTGCCTTTTAGGTTCTTGGATGTGGATGGCAGCAGGTCTTTCTAGTTTGCCTCTTGGACATCCTAAAACAAGGTGAGAACCTGCCTTCTTTACCTTTGGTCACCCTCGCTGAGCTTCTGACCCCAGTCTTATCATCATAGCTCCCCAAAGAGCCCCTTAGCCAGTCTGAGTGGTCTCTGTTGATTTTTTAAAATTATTTTTTAAAAATTTTAAACTATATTAACCTTCTTATTTTTATTGATGTATGTGTGTGTGCTTGTGTACATGTATAGCGTGTGTCTGAGTATGTAAGAAGGCCTGAAAACCCCTGGAGCTGAAGTTACAGGTACCTGTGACCCACCCACCCCACGTGAGAGTTCTTGAAAACAAATTCAGGTCCTCCAGAAGAGCGGTGTGTGCTTTTAACTGCTGAGCCATCTACTGTGTGACACCTCTTCCTGGGGGAGACACAGAAAAAGATCTGCTCACTGAGATAGGGAACAAACAACAGACCAAAGAAAGGAGCCCACCGAAGTCCAACTTGGCAAACGACCGAGCTTTATTGGGGTTACTTACAGGAGTAGACGTGAAGGGGTTGCTTTTAAGAGCTGCACCATCAGAGGCTGACGCCAGCATGGCTGACAGCTCACAGAAACTAGAAACTTGGAGTTCACTGCACAGGTGTCTCAGCTGGCCAGAGCTTCTTCCAGGCTTATCTTCTTATCTTGTCTGAATACACGTGTGTGTGTGTGTGTGTGTGTGTGTGTGTGTGTGTGTGTGAGTGTGCTTAGAGAGGGTGGGACCTAATGTATCTGGTAAGTTTCAGGGACTTCCTGAAGTCTTTGAGTTGTTTACTTCCTGAATTTAAGGAGGCTCCCTACAGTATGGAATGTTTCACTTCCCTGTGATCTTAAAAAGCTTCCCTCAAGATGGATGTTCATCTTGCAGGATATTGCTACACAACACCATCTCCCCAGCTGCCATAATTGCCTATTAGTACAGTATTTATAGATCACTTACAAACTTGGGGTACTTAAAGTAATCTATGCTTATCTCCTCAGTTCTAGAAGCCCCTACTCCAAAATGTGTTTCACTCAGTCAAAATCAAAGTGTCTGCAGGGCGGCACTCGCTCCAGTGGTGTGCTGCAGCAGCCTGAACAGAATAAGGCACTGTGCGCTCAGTAAACAGTAGCTTATGGGACGAATGACTTCTTGAGTTACATTCACAGTGAAAAAAATCAAGTTTTTTTTTTTTTGAGCTGGTTCAAACTCCTTACTCACACTGTGATTTTCACATAACAAACTCAGTATGGTTCACATTTAGACAATTTAGACTTTTGGAGACTGAGGCAGAAGGCTTATGGGTTCAGAGCTACATAGTGAAATCTAGGGATATAGCTCAGTAGTGTAGTGCTTGCCTAGTTTGCAGGATGCCCTCAATTTAGTACCCAATACTAGAAAAACCTTGACTATATTACATCTGTAGCATTCATAAACAACAAGAATGATGGAACAGAATTGGTCAAGTCTTAAACACGTATGTGTCACTAGATTGTTGTCGACAATTGTCCCCAGTTAAAGCAGTTTAACTAAAATGCTTCTCAATTCTTTTTACATTTGGTATGTTCTAGACATGACGCTCACTTTCTGAGAATATCAATTTGTTTGATGCCCATGAGCTACAGAGCCCAAAGTCCACTGTGTGGAGCTGTACACAGACAGACACCTACGATGAAGGGCAATGAACGCAAGCCACAGAATCTTGCACAAGATAGTAGGAAAGAGCAAACAAGGAGCCCTGCCAACACAGAAGTGTCCGAGGAAGACTTCTAGGAGGAGGTGGGGCTGTGGCTGGTTTCATAGGCTGAATAAATACCATGGGGGGAAGGACCATCCTGGGCAAAGTCATGGAAGGTTGGTATGGTTGCTCATGACTGAGGAGTAAGCTGCAAAACCATCAAGGGAATTTGGTAAGCTGACCTGAAACTTGATCATTCTTTTCAGCAAATTGATTGTTTGTTCCCAATAGTAGAAATAGATTTTCCAGAAGACAAATAGAAAAATGCTGTAATGTTTCCTGCGACAAAAAAAAAATTTGCAACAGTTCCGTGAACAAGTAATGATTTACTTAAACAGTAATTACTTAAACAGTATGAGTCAACAACAACAATAAATTATTAAAGGGCATAAGACAAAATCTGTCTAAATACAACTGTGGCTGATTGAATGATAGATGTCAGAGATTTGAATGCCTGATCCCCAGTGGGGAGGCTTAGGAAGTATGACCTTAATGGAGAAAGCATGGCACTGGGGGCCAGGTTTGAGTATCAGATCCTATGTCAGTTCCTGGAGTTTGAGACTTGAGCTCTCAGCCTCCAGCTCTAGTGACCATCTCTGCTGCCAGCTGCCATGTTGTCCCCTACTATAGACCCTAACCCTACGGAACTGTAAACACAAATAAACCATTTCTTCTCTATTTGCCTTGGGCATGTGTTTTATCAAAGCACAGAAAAGTAACTAAGGCAAGAATCTAATACTATGTTCTTAAATGGAAGGCCCTTAATATCATGAAATATTAACCCTCTCTAAATGAATAAACCACTGAATAAACAATTCCGTGGCTACTGGATTAAAAGAAAGGAAAACAAAAGGGCATGATAGAGTTAGCCCAAAGAAGACAGAGTGAGTGACACATGTAAGGGAGACACGGGACAGCCTTGCCCCAGCAAAGGAGGGATAGGTCCCATCTCATGTGGATTTGATGCTTTTACATACATAAATATAGTAGATTTTTTGGTGGGTCTTTTTTGTTTTGTGTACCAACCTGTTTTTAAAGTAGTGATCCTCTTGCCTCAGTATCTGGAGTGCTAGAATTACAAGCATGTGCCAACTATGCCCTGCTAATACAACGTAGTTTTAAATAAGTAAAGAAACGTAGTAAATAAAGTAAATATAATAAATGAGTATAAAAGGTCTAGTATTTTTCTAAATGTTTCCCCCAAAGACTCTCTCTCTCTCCCTCCCTCCCTCCCTCTCGCTCTCTCTCTGTGTGTGTTCATTTGTACATGATTACATTAGGCAGATTACTGGTTACCTTGGGAACTAGTAAAGTAACTTTCTCCTTTGGTTAGAAGACTAAGCAACAAAAGGTGATTCTAAGTTCTGAGGGCTGATGAGATGACTCTGTGGGAAAGAGCACCGTTTTAGGACAGTGGAGGAATAATTGGAAGAACATACTCAGCATGCAAGCAGAGACAAGGGGCAAAATGAATCTGAGAGTCAGAGGCAATAGACAGAGAGCTCTGAATGGCGCTGATGGGTGGGTGGGTCCTCATGCAGAGAAGAGGAATAGTTGAAAGAATAGTAGCCAAAATTTTGTGAAACCAAGCACATTGATTTTTTTTTTTTTTTTTTTTTGCACATTGATTTCTTAAGTCATGAGTGTAGTCATGAGTGTACCGAATATCCTGGGCAGGAGACACAGGTGACTCTGGCTTCTCTTTTGCTCCATTTCACTGTCTTGTGCTGTCTCTCCATTGATCCTTACGTTGTCTGAACAAAAAAGCTTCTTCTTGCGTTATTTCTCCATGACAACTTTTAACTGTCTCTCACGGCCATGGCATTCAAGTCAGAGAGCTGCTTTTTCCTTAGTGGACCTCACCCTGGCTTGGTTTTCTCTTGTTTCTTCCTGACATTTGGGACTGACGATGTTGAGGGAAGAGCTTGAGATGTGAGACCGGGCAAAGCCGAGCAGATGTTCCTGCCTGCAGTGATGAGATACAATTGCTCACAGCTTTTCCAGTGTGCTGCAGGCCAGATCACAGAGATGGAGGGTACAGCCAAAGTTCTCATGGTCTAAACTTCTAGAAATGATTAGTGCTTTCTTGCTAAATGAATCCCCCCTGAGATAACTGTGAATCTGAGGTCATTTTTGGTGATTTTGGAGATCTTAGTCTATAGTAATCTCAATTTATTTCCCCCTTCCGATAGCTGGTAAGCAAGTAACAAATGCCTTTCCTCAGTCACAGAAAGAAAAGCCTTGTGTGGAGCCTTAGTAACGTTTTCCGTGGCATTGTCCTCACCCTTACTTGGCTGTTGTTACTCTTTGCTCAGGAGCCAGCGATGGGCTAAATTCTAAGACTCTCCCTGCAGATGTCTGGGTTGTCTTCCTGCTTCAATCTGCGGTGTGCTCAGTGGTGTCTGTCGGACACTGTTCCGGAGTTAACATGCCTTCCCCGTGAGAACTCCCCCCACTCACAGGTTGACAAAGGAAAAGGCTCCTTAAGAACGCATGCAACTGGTTCTGGCTGACACACAAAAGGGAATCAGTCTTAAACAAAATTTTACCAGCTTCTACGGACTTTGGGCCTGCACGGTCCACATACACTGTTATCCTTAAACCTCCATGAGGTCCCAGTCCCAGGCTACACTTGGAACGATTTAAACAGAGATGGGAGGCTAGAAGTTTGTCGATTTGGGCAGGTAGGATGTTTACACAACAAAGATACTGCCAAAATTATTTCTGATATATGCCATTGTTGTTTGTTTTCTGTACAGTTGCTGCCCAGGTCCTTCTTGCCCACCTGGCTGAACTGATTCTTCTGAGAAGAGCACAGGGGACTTAACAGCAGACCAGGACTTAATTTAATGATGATTGTCACCCTGCACTGCCCCTCCTGAGATGCCCATTAGATGCATGTTCTTTGATATGGGGATGGGCCTCACGGCTGGTTCTAAGTCAAGCTTTTCGCCTTTTGTTAAGGAAATGGAGCCTAAGTGGGGGTCAGTCTTGATGAACAAGCATCATTTTCTCAAATACCCTAGCAACAACCCTAAACTTCAGTTGTGGCACAAGATTTTCTTTCCTGTAGTTTCTAGCAGACCTGTGCTCTGCTTATCTGATGGAGGTGGGTCTTGTATCTTATCTGTTGCTTTCATTGGTTAATAATAAAGAAACTGCCTCGGCCCTCATAGGACAGAAAATTAGGTAGGTGGAGTAAACAGAAGAGAATGCTGGGAAAAAGAAGCTGAATCAGGGAGTCGCCATGGTTCTCCCACTCCAGACAGA